CCTACTCATTCTGGACAATGCATCATTGCACAATCCATTGGATATTATCCTTACCAATGTGAGACTGCTTATGCTGCCCCCAAACGCCGGCCTTCCTTTAACCCATGGACGCGGGCATTATTGCTGCTTTCAAGCGGCACTACAAACGTTGTCAGTTTGATCATGTGAAAGAGCTGGTTGATGGCGTTACCGAGGCAATTGAAAGTGGAATGAAGACTATGTACGCCGTCGACGTGTTGACGGCCATGAGATGGTCAATTCAGGCCTGGGATTGTGCCACATCTACAACCATTCGAAACTGCTGGAACCATACCGGCATTGTTTCCCGCGGCCACTTAATTCAGCGATTGCTCAACTGACAACTGTCAACATCAATTATCGTGTTTCCTTTGTTCTTTTATTTTCCTGTTACAATTTCTTTTGGTGAGGGAGCAAACGTTGAGGGAGCTCTGTATAAGGTAGCCATTAGGGGAGGGTTTAAGCCCCGGGGGGATCAGCCCCTCGAGGGAAATTCACTTTGTGATTTGCCCGTGACCATTGCGTTGTGGTTAGCCTTTTGTGTGCGCGAGACAGGACTTCACAAGGTTCGTCAGGTGGAGACTCAACAAAGAATTCTTTTTAGCTAGTAGCTACTTGCCGTGAACATGACAAAACGTTCGCCGTTACCAAATGCTTTGGTGCGAGTGACGAGAATGAGGTCGATGGAGACCGTTGTGTCTGTTCCAATGCCGCACATGGCGGTGGCGGGACAAGATCACCCCTTGCCTCCTCCGGGGCCATCCGAGTTGGATGAACTCTGGATGCAGAACGTCAAGCGTGCTGCGGCGTCGTCAAGTGAATTCAACAAGATGACGTACGAGCTGATGGCGCAGTTTCACACGCAGCAGCAAGCGATGGCTGTGCGCTTGAAACAAGAATCCGCCCGACAGGCGGTGATGGTGGCTGAAATCGAGAATAGCCGCCGCGAACAAGACGAATCGCGTGCGATATCGTCGAAGCAGCAAGAACATCTACGACGCCAACACGAAGAGAACTAGTTGGCGATGGCTCAGCAAGCTAGGGTGACTGGAGATCACCAGTCGTTGTTACAGCAAGCCTCTGAAGCAATGAGGCAACAGCACTCCAAGGTGGAGGAGCTGGACAAGAAAGTACGCCGTGATAGCGAGCGCTGGGGACTCTTTGCCGCTGCAGCCAATTATCAACCCCCTGCGTAAGCGGCGCCGGCGGTGATGAGCCGTACGGAGACTCTTATGGGTGTTTAGCAAGTGCCACTGGCCTCGATGTACAAGGGCAGCACGAAGCGTGAGCGCCGGGAGTTCATGGATGAGTATCTGGCGTACTCTCGGCGCGTGGAAGCGCTGAACCGTGGTGTGGGAGGAGTCCTCTTCCTCATGCCACTGGCAGCATGCATCGATCAAAAAGTCGTGCCTCGTGTTTGTGATTATGATTTCGGCAAGCCGTTCGAAGAAATCACTGAAGACGGATGGCGGGACTACTTTCTGAGTGCCCGTGAAGATCATGAACTTGACCTCGATTGGGTTGCCAAGGCTATGGCGCCCTTGAAGATGGACACGCAGATTCGCTATGCGGAATCCCGCGTCGGCCGATTGCTGGCCGATTTCCACGAGAAGCTCGAGCAGCTGGATGCGGCTCACCTGCCCATCCAGGAGCCGAAACTGTCGGTCAAGATTTTGACGGCTGCAATCCGACCCGCGGAGCTGAAGGCCACGGTAGAGCGGCAGCTTCTCGGGAAGTACACAAGGTCTACAAGACCAGCGTGCCTGCGTTTGGCCGCTGGTTGACTCAGTTACTCGACAACTTCATGTTGTTTGAGTCGCAAATGGTGACGGCGGAAAAGAAATTAGAAGAGAAATCGCGTCGCCAGTACGGCGAGAAGTACCAGCAACCGCAACAGCGGAAGCCTGATGGCCAAGCGAAAGGCGCGGTGCCCGCAAAGCAAGTGCTGTTTGCAAAGGGCCGCCTGAAGTGTGGCAGTGACGATCACAAGGTCGTACAATGTCCCAAGTGTGCGCCGGGGGAAGCGCATCGTCTGTTAGAACAACGGGCAAAGCGTCCTCCTGTTGCGGCGAACACGCCTGCAGCCGCTCCAAGCGGCATGTCGACAGCCAAGAAGAACGTGGTTGGCGCAGCGATCGACTCAAAGAAGCCGAAACTCGACTCTTCGCAAGCACCGCGCACCGTGCGCTGCTATGTGAATGGCATGGAAGCGCTGGCGCTACTTGACAGCGGCGCGGATCAATCGGTGGTTTCGCCTGCATTGATTGCGCGGCTAAACGAAGCTGGCGCTTTGCTTGCGCCTGTGTGCAAGTTGGATTCTGCCCTGGAGCTGGGCGGATCATGGAAGAAAGGAAGCTTTCCGTCGACCGTGAAGTCAAGTTGAAGCTGACGTTCGACACGGACGAAGATCGTCTGGTTTTGACGAACCTGAAGTGCTGGGTGGCCGCAGCGCCTCTGCACAGCGGTCTCGGTGACATTATCGTGAGCCGTGCAGTGATGTCTCGTTTGCGATACTCTCCCATAGCTTTATTGGAAGCTGCGCGGCGTGCTCAAAAGGTCTATGACCGACCTTAGCCAGCTGGGCGGCCAAGATTCGTGTCTCATGGCGGCAATCAAGGTCCTAGAAGACAAGAAGTAGCCACCGATAGCGCCGGAAGAAGCGGCGCTAAACGTGGATGAAGAATTATCTTGATTTCCACAAGTTGACGTGGACAGGTCAGTCGACGAAGACAAAGCGGCGGTGCGCTTAAGGAGAAGGTCGTGGAGTGCCGAGTTGCAGGATTCGATGACGACTATGCCGTCGAGCTGGGTAGGTTGCTCGTCAATTACGAAGACGTGTTCCGACTCAAGGTGGGTCGGGATCAGCCGGTCAAGGTGGAGCCTCTACGTGTGACTCTCAAGGCTGACACGAAGCCTGTGGGCTGCAAGGCACGACGCTACTCGAAGGTGCAGCGGGAGCTCATGGCGAGACACGTGGAAGAACTCCAAGCGGCTGGTTTATGCTTCCGCAATCCGCTGTCGAAGTGGTGCTCGGTACCGCTTATCGTGAATAAACCCGAAGCGAACGAAATTCGCCTGACAGTGGACGTCCGTGCAGTCAACGCTCAGACGGAGCGGATCCTCTGGCCGATACCAATGCTAGAGGTTATCCTCGACCACCTCTGTGGTGCCCAAGTCTTTTTCACATTGGGGTTTTTCAAGGGCTATTGGCAGTTTGCGCGCTACACCCTAACTCGCAGGAGATGTCTCGTTCCTTACGGACATCGGCGTTTACACGCCAACCGGAGTGTTGATGGGCGGCAAGGACAGCGTGGCGTTTTGCCAGTCATCTGTGCAAGAGATGTTTGCGGACGAGCTATACCGCTGTCTGCTCAACTGGCTAGATGATTTACTCGGCTACAGCAAGACCGAGGACGGTTTGCTGGCCGCGTTGGAGCGCGTACTGAAGATTTGCGAGTTCCGTGGGCTCATGTTGAACCCAAAGAAGTGTCGGTTCTATCAAACCGAAGCGCGCTGGTGTGGGCGCATTGTGTCTGGCGAAGGGGTAAAGCATGACCCCGAGCGCATCAAGGCGCTACAAGATTTGAAGGTGCCATTGACCGTCCAAGACCTCCAGCAATTCATCTGCGCGATGAACTGGATGCGCAAATCCACACCACGCTACAATGTGGTGGTCAAGCCTTTGGCTGACTTGATGGAACGTGTTTACACATTGGCGGGTGGCCGCACTCGCCAGAAGGTCGCGAAGATTCCGCTGTCGGAAGCCGGTTGGGATGCCAGCCATGTGGGCTGCCTTGCGGAGTGCAAAAAGGTCCTCGGGCAGGCCGTGACGTTGGCTCATCCGAAGAGCGACAAGCTTGTTTGCGTCTTTGCAGACGCCAGTGACTTGCACTGGGGCGGCGTGGTTACGCAGATCCCGCCAGAGCAGTCAGATCGTGAGCTCGACGCTCAAGAGCATGAGCCTCTCATGTTTCTGAGCGGCACATTTTCTGGCGCCGCCCAACGATGGGCTATTGTGGAGAAGGAAGAGTTCTCGATTGTCGAGTGCTTGAAGCGCGCAGATTATCTTCTCCACAAGTGTGACGGTCGCGTGGGTTTACGAGAACGCACAAATTAATAACGAAGTCCAGAGGGCTAGTCTTCAGGGTCGGATTCTCTCGGCGTCATTACACAAGACGGTAGAAGCGAGTGACTTCTGTTGCGGGCAAATGTAAAAGTGATTAGGAAGTAGCTTTCTAATATACAGGTGTCCTTCTAGCAGGACGTCAAGGATGAATGTTCTAAAGCTCTAAGTCGAAGGTTCTAAGCCGAA